AATCTCTGAGCTTGGTCTGTTTCTAATCATCGGTACACTGACACACCATCTGGTTCAATCTCTGTGCTTGGTCTGTTTCTAATCATCAGTACACTGACACACCATCTGGTTCAATCTCAGAGCTTGGTCTGTTTCTAATCATCAGTACACTGACACACCATCTGGTTCAATCTCTGTGCTTGGTCTGTTTCTAATCATTGGTACACTGACACACCATCTGATTCAATCTCTGAGCTTGGTCTTTTTCTAATCATCAGTACACTGACACACCATCTGGTTCAATCTCTGATCTGGATCTGTTTCTAATCATCAGTACACTGACACACCATCTGGTTCAATTTCTGAGCTTGAGCTTGTACCTACAACTACATTAAGCTCTTCTACTTCTATTTATACTGAGCTGTTAATGTATACTAACAGTCCTAAAGTTTATCTAAATAATCCTTGCCTGAATACTTCAAGTTCTGTTCTGTTATTCTAATTTAATTCCTTTAATTGCATGATTTTGTACCTTTCTTGTTTTTTATGCAAATCCTTCAAGTTGTCAGAAGTATTTATTATACATACACATATTTTATACTTGTAGAATATGACAACAGATGGAGATACAGTCAACAATATAGTACAGAAATAGTTATCATAATCAGGTTTCAAATGTGTAACACATGACAAAAGATGAAGTTACTATCAACAATATAATACAGAAATAGTTATCATGTGCATGTTTCAAATGTGAAACACATGACAACAGATGAAGTTACTATCAACAATATAATACAGAAATAGTTATCATGTGCATGTTTCAAATGTGAAACACATGACAACAGATGAAGTTACTATCAACAATATAATACAGAAATAGTTGACTGAGCTATTGTATGTGTGCTACAACATTAGGATTTGATCGCGCTGATCATGTCTAAAATTGATCTTTTCTTGGAGAGTTACATTACAGGAATTTCTGATGCCAACTTTTCCTAATCTGAAATTAGGAATACAAAGAAGGCACAAAATTTCAGTGTTTTAAAGAAATCATATCTACATTGTTGAACTGTATTAGTAAAGCAAAAGTTGTCACTCCATGATCAGCTACCTATCTCACACTGGAGGTTGTGTAGAAAGTTAAACAGCTTAATACTGAAAGTATCACAAAAACACAGAAATATTTTGCAGCTAAAATAGAAATCTTTCTTGGCACTGTAAGTAAGATGAATATGTAACTTCTTTTTTCTGAATAGCAATATGGGTTTATATAAAGTTTGAAAGAAGCTTTGATGACATTATGCTTAAAAACACTTATACTTGTGTGAATTATAAGATATTAATTTTTATTGATACATTTCCAAATATTTCATTATTTTATGTAACACTAATCACATTTTGTGTTGAATATTGTAGTTACAATGGTGTTGGGCATACCAACTGTAAAACGAGAAGTCCAGAGTTATCTTATGTCAACACTGCAAAACTTGATTGAAAATATGTCACCAGCTGAAAAAAAAGATTCGATCATCATAGTTTTTATTGCTGAGGTATGCAAGTTTTCCTGAGTCTTTATGTAATTATTGGTTTGTTGAAAGAGTAATGCTTCATTATTGTAAATGCTGAGAATAGTTTGATAGTAATTAAAATTGATATATTTACTTGTATGTATGGAGAAGTAAACCTAAAAAACTAATCGAACAAATGTAGTTGTTTCTTTAAAATACTATATTGTTAATAGTAACTTCATCTGCTTTCATATGTTTCATATTTGAAACATGCTTGTGATAACTATTTATATTTTATTATTGATAGTAACTCCATATGTTTCATATTTGAAACACACTTATGATAACTATTATGTTGTTGATAGTAACTCCATCTGTTGTCATATCTTTCATATTTGAAACATGCTTATGATAACTATTTCTGTATTATATTGTTGATAGTAACTTCATCTGTTGTGATATGTTTCACATTTGAAACATGCACATTGGTTGGTTCCACTACTTTTACTAATGAAAATGTTGTAGCACCCATACCATTATTTTGTTGTTATTACATATTTGTAGCTCCTGTAAAAACTTTTGGATGCTAATTACAATTTGTTAGGTTCTGTATCAGGTTTGTTGTTATTACCTATTTGTTAGGTTCTGTATCGGTTTTGTTGTTATTACATATTTGTAGCTCCTGTAAAGAACTTTTGGATGCTAATTACTATTTGTTAGGTTGCGTATCGGTTTTGTAGTTATTACATATTTGTAGCTTGAAGTGTTTTTACATTAGAACAAATGTTTTCTTTTTAACACAGGTGTACAAATATAATAATGTATATATTTAAGTTAGAAAGAAGCCTTAGTATAGGAGGCCTCAATTCTCCTCCTGTGGTTCACTATAAATTAGAAATAAGTTATACATTCATCTAATCTTAGTAAAAATAAACTTTCAGCATAACTTGCATATTGTGACCTCATCACATTGCATGCTCCAAATCCTACAAGAGTCTTGTATTTTCATTTAATAAACTCCACCTTCATTACTGTATGTAGTTCTTACTCGTAGAACTACTGTATTTTTCGGTGTATAAGTTGATTGGGTTAAATTTCTCATTTTTTCACCCTTCATTTATATACAAGTTGAAATGGAGTATAAGAAATAAAAAATATGAGTTAAAATTCTTTTATTACATACATGAAACAACAAACAAAAAATAGAATCAAGCATCTAACAACTGAGAAATTGTCAAGGCATTTAATTACTGGTAACAGTTAGACCATTGAAGTGTGATTTTAATTACCGAGTACACATTTGATCACCACAGATAGTTATTTAACATCAGGGTAACTGTCAAATTCTTCATCTTCTGTATCCAATGGGGAAAATAGCTGCCAAGTCGGGGACATGACAGGTGCATGTTCTCTGTATCCGATGGGGAAATAGCTGCCAAGTTGGGGGACATGACAGGTGCATGTTCTCCTCATTTTTCATATCATTGTCTTTGTCAGGTTTCTCTTTTTGGCTCATAATTCCTTTATGAATCCATTCACAACTACTGCTTGGGGCACACTGTCCCATGCATTCTTAATCCATTGTGTAACCTTGGCGTAGTCCCATGTTGGTGAAACTGTGTTTGCCAGTAGACTCCCATATCTTCCTAAGTAATATCCAATGGCTATAACAACTTTGTCATATTCAGAGGGATTATGCTTAAAACAGTCTTCTTTTCATCCACTCTACCTTTTGTCTCGTCAATGACGTGTGTGTGTGTGTGTGTGTGTCCATTACTAGCATTTCTTAGTCTGAAAAATCTACTTGGCTGACATGTGTAGCCAGTGTGTTATCCAGCCAGTCCCATTATGTTATTATCCATCTTTCGATTCACCTCTACCACAACACCACACAGAGATTTGTCATTGTCTTTCGCTTAAATATTACCATGGGGGAGTAACTTCCTACTGTCAGCACCGTGAAACTATGTCAAATGTTAATGGCACTGTGTTCATGTTGATGATGTTAGATGTCTCTTGTGTTATTTTTCCTTTATCTTCACCTGCACATGAGTGAAAATTCCCCAACTTTTCCTCGAAGTCTTCAGGCAGTTTTTGAGACATTGTCAAATGCTGCGTGATACATGGTCCTTTCCTGCACATGTATTAAAAATGTGAAGATGGATCACCTTAAGACATTTTGATGACTAATCTTTAGATAAGTTGATGTGGTATATAAACTGAGGCTTGGGCAAACCATGAAAAAGTCTTGTCTTATATGCTGAAAAATATGGTAGTAACATAAATGTATATGGATTAGATTATCAATGGAGCAGATAGCATGACTGTGTGTTATTACACCTTTTATCCTTAGAGCAAGTAATGTAAATGTATATGGTTAATAGTTTTTCCTCATAAAGTGGGCAGTTAGTCAGATTCATAACTCTACTACTGTCAACTTTTCAGTTATTCTCACAAGAGACAAGAATAGTTGGAATAATTGAAAGTAGTAATAATTAGAAACACTGAGTTTGATTAGTTGGTTATTTTCATCTGTAGTGACACTATTTGATTACGTTAAACAAAATTGAACTAATCAAAAATAACAATGAGAAATAATAACAGCATTATTTTTATTACTTAGGTAGTTGGAATAAGTGAACCAACCAGACTGAGCTATTGTATAGTTGCTACAATTTCATTAGTAAAAGTAGTGAAACCAACCAGACTGAGCCGATACAGAACCTAACAAATAGTAATTAGCCTACAAAATATATTTACAGGAGCTAC